ATTCAGCCCAAAGCCAATCGCCCAGAACCGCGTCCGAGCAGCCCACCCCCCAATCCATTCCGCTTAATTATTATAAATGAGGGGCGGCATAAACAGCCATCATTACAGACACTCAGTGGCATACACAAATCCACTTTAAATTGCTATTAAGTTAGGAAGCGATCTGTAATCCCAGGCGTGCGTTAGAACGGAGCAAGTAGGCTTTCTTTTTATTAAATCTCCTCGTCCCTGAGATATTTTCAAACGTTCTCGCGCTCTGTCATGTTTCCAATTTGGAACCAATTCGCTGATTTAATTAAAAGCCCACTTGGAAAAACGGACACCAAGTAGCCATTCTCATATCCGGCTATGCACTTTTTTAATCTGCATTTTATTTTTCAATAACTCTGTATTGACATAGTTTTAGGAAAGCGGTGGGTTAGACCACCTTTGTGTTCTCTCTCTTCTCTCTAGCTTTCTTTTGTTGTCTGGGTTGTTCCTTAGGCACCAGTATTTTTTACTCCTTTCATTACGTCTGTACTTGGTGCTTATCTCTTTTTTTATCATCACTTTTTTTTTTTGCTTTTCAAATATATTTACTCAACTTCAGTTTCTTTTTTTTCTTTTTTACAACCTATTTTAAATTTTAATGTAAAAATGAGAAAGAAAAAGTTTGCATGGGTTTCAAACATTTTTCACAGAAAAATCAGAATTCTACCATGCATTTTTATTCAGCTCCTCATTGGTTGAATAAATTGCAGATTCACTTTTTAATGCAATTATAGTATTTTGGGATATGTCCCTATCATCTGAAAAAAGATTCTTCCTATCCAATATTGGTATCAGATATTGGTCTGATATCCGATACTAATAATGCCAAAAAACTATTATTAAATTCTTTTAGCCAGCATCTAAAATCTCTGGCGTGCTGATAGACACGCTCCTCTGATTAAAGTTTAACTCATCGGTTAATCCTGTATGGGTCTGTTGTTCACTTCTTTAGTAATATCTCTAGATCAAGTCATTTATTTTTATTTTACTGTGCAAAATAATGTGGTATCGGTATTGGTTCATTTTATTAAAGCTGCAATATCGGTATCGTATTGAAAATTAATAATTTGTTTTAGGACACTCCTAATCTGAATTACTTTAAGATCCTCAATAGGTTTCTTATTGGCTTAAACTGCGACCAAGGCTCCACAGCATGATGCTGCCACCACCATGCTTCATGGCGTAGATAGTCTTGGTTTTCCACCACTCGTGTTTTTTTTTTATGTTTCATGCTGTAGTTTTAGTTTATTTTTCTCATTCGAACTCCTTCTCTTTCAGACAGATCAGATTTATGGAACACATGACTTATAGCTGACCTGTCGACCGATTCTCCTGCCATGCTTCCCTTAACCCTTTAAAGCCCGATCCAAGAATAAAACAAAACAGAAAATTACTTTTTTTTTTTGGTTTGTCCAAAAAAGTCCTTATTTGCCCTTTTAGCAAAATATGTAAAAAGAAGAAATAAATTTTTGATATTAATAATTTATTACTATGCGATAAGTCAAGATTATTTTTTGTGTAGTCTTCTACTGGCTGTTTCAGGTATATCTGATTGTGTACAATAGGATTTTGAGCAAAGTTTTTACCATTAAATTGTGCAAAAGGTGTCAGACGCAAAACATTTCAGAAACTGTATGTATCAAATACGATACATTTGGCATTTTAGGGTGAAATTGTCTCCTTGCCCATCCATGTAAACTATGCAGAGCTATAGTTCGGTAGCTGTTTCATCTCTCTCTGTTTTCAGATGATGACTTAAAAACAGCTCAGTGCTTGAAATATTGTTTTATAACCAAATTTGATCTAAAAACTGAATTTCAGTTTGTTCCTTGGTTTGTTTGATTCAATGAGCAGCTGGATTTTATAATGCTCTACTTACTTGCTCATCATATCAAATAGTAGTAAACATACTGCATGTTGAACCTTGTGAGTGAAACTGCACAAAATGAGAAAAAAAAGGTTCTAGAGGTATTAATATTTTTTGGTTGGAGCACGGACTCCAAATCTCTTCTAGGAATTATTGAGTTTGTTCTCGGTTTGCTAGGAAGTGTGATGGGTGATAGGTAAAGGGCTTCCTGCAGAGTCCTGCAGTGCATCTGGTGAGTCTGTGCAGAGAGGATAGAGGAGAGGAGACTAAAAACAAGCAGGAGAGGATGCAGGCAGAATGCCTGCTGCAGGAGAGATGGGAAAAGAGCAAGCGAGCGAGAGAGATGGAACGGGAGGAAAAGATGGAGGGGGCTGGAAATGTGGAAGGAGGGAGAGATTGTAACAAGCAGGCGGCGGGTTCAGCGGCAGGGCAATGAGAGACTTCCTGCGCTCCATCACGCCCAAGGCCTGCCTCAGTCAGCTGGTGGCCGAGCAGAGATGCCTCATGTGTCAGGCTTATTAGCGCTCCCCCTAGTTTGTATGCATTTGGGATTACATATGAGTGGGTGTGAGTTTTACCAGGGTGGGTGTTTGAGTGAAAAAAATAAGAAAAAGAGAGGACTGCTGTTTTTTTCTTTCTTTTTTTATAAAAAAGGTGGACTATCAGGAAGGTTTTACAGGAGTGTTTTGTTTTGCTGCATAATGGTGGCGTGACACCTGCCTTGCTTGTCTTCCTTCACCAACCTCGACTCACCATCTCCCCACTGCCGGCTGGAGGAGCTGTCAGTCTGTCCTCTGCTCGCGCACCGTGAGCGATGGGCCTATCAGGAATGCCGCCATTAGCCAGCCCCCTGAGTGGTAAATAAACGATCGCGCCGGTACACTGCAGGTGTTGTCATAGCAACCCACTCTCCATGCCTGCCCCGCCCACGCTCACTCCCAGCTATCTCAGCGGAGGAGTCACCGGGAGGTCAGTAAGTCAACGTGCGGCAGCCGCCACGACACGGCGCTGTTGGACCCCCCCCCCCCAGTGCTCCACTCAGAACCCAGTTCACCCCCCACCAAAACACTCACACAACCCAATCCGTCTTATGTTTAACACTTCTAACTTGTTCAGGTCGATGGTAACTAATTTTTAGATCCCAAATAACCCCAAAGCTGGCAGCAGCAGGAGGACGTTGAGAGAAAGGAGAATGTTTTCTGTCATTTGGGTAATTCACTCTCCGCAGCTTCTGGAATGTCCCTATTACAGCAGGTGTACTCTGGATGAACCCATTTCAAGTATGGGGAAGATGGACTCTGCACGCCTGACAGCCTCCCGCCGCCATCGGCGCCCACTCTGCGATGCAGCAGTTGTATTAAAATGGCGGCGCTGATAATCCAAAAGACCTTTCTGAGGGAGAATTTGAGACCGGCTGCACAGATGGGCGGCGGAGATAAATAAAACTCTCTGTCACTACGGTCGGTGGAATAGAGCTGCGACGCCCCCAAGGGAGAGCAGAAATGTTTTGCTCCCCTCACCCCAATGTGCCTTCCCTCCTCCTCTCCCCCCGTCCGTCTGTTTCCCCTCTCCTGCTCCTTTCCAACAGGAACCAGGGCCAGCTTTTTGGATTTTCCCTCTCTGGTCTGGTGGGAAGCATAAAAACACCATTTCAGGCGAACCTTTTCCCTTCGTTAGGAGCAGAGACACAGTGAGAATAACCCAAGTTAGCCCAACATCCAAGTCAGAGCTAAAAACGATGAGGCCCGGGCGGACAATCTGCTTATGTCTGCTTGTGCTTTAAAGACTCTTGTGGTTTATCACCGTTGAAGTGTTTCATCCATCCTTGCTGTCCAGGAAGCGCTCATTAGCTGCAGGCCTCATTCCTCTGGCTGCAGAGAGGTGTCAAGTCCTGCAGATCACCTAAACCTCTGACACGGAGCGCTTCATCATGTCAGGATGTGTTTGTGCCTCTGCAACTAGAAGCAGAACCATCCAGTGTTCACTAATGATTCGTTTTCCTGTCGGTGTTTCATCTCCAGCAGCCAGTTTCAATCCGCCAGAGAACAGAGAGGATGAGCCGGCAGGTCTGCTCCTCTGCTGGGAGTTCAGCTTCTACAACCCCGATCAGTCATCAATAACACATTTTAGATTCGATATTCTTAAATATATTAAATAGATAGATATATTATATTAGTGAGTATTTATATTATAGTAATATCAATAGCAGAAATATTGACCAATTTTGACTCATCTTTAAAATGCATCTATTTTTTCTTAGAAAACAAGAAAAAAAAAATATTTACCAACACTTTTTTCGCCTTCACATTGTGTGAATTTACAGCTTGATAGTTTTAGGCAAATCAAAACATTCTTTTTACATTTTTATATTAACTTAAAAAAAAAATCCCCTACATTTAAAAAGTATTTGTTTTTTCATTTTCATTTTCCTTCTATAAATTTTGGGTAAAAATGTTTTATGATCAAAGTAAATATTTCATTTTATTTCCATATTTTACAGAACACCTTTAAATGTGTTTTATTTGTTTGAAAAAGAAAGTTCCAAAAATAAAATAAAAATTTCTTTTTTTTTTCCAAATTGCTTCTGTTTTTGTGCAGAAGATATTAAAAAGTCCCGTCGTATGTTTTCTGTCTTTCCAGGAAAAAAAGCGTCCTGACTTTATTAGTCTGGTGAAAGAAGCCAGCTGTGTTGATTGCTTTTGAGCAGTAAAAAAAAAAAAAACGTTTTGTTTTAGACACTCAACGTCTTGATTGCCTTGTTTGCCGTTTTGCCCAATTTTTAATGAAAACCCTTGAGGCTAATGAGCCCCAGTGTGCATTCGAATATTGTGAACGGCTGTTTGTTGGAGGCGATGGCGAGTCTCCTGCATGACCTTCGCTATAACCGACTTCACGCAGAGGGGAAAACTATTTTTATCACAAAGTTTATGCAGTTTTCATAGCCTGTAAATTCCTTTGGCACATGTGGAGTATTTGCAGCTGAAATCCTGCAAACAGCTTTTAAAATCATGTAAAAGCATTAAAGCCTTTGTTTGAATTTTGCTTTGTTTACTCATTCCTGAACTCCTCAGAGATTCCATCATTTGCCTCCCTTTGTCTCCAGGAGTACAACATCCACGGCTGGTGGGTCGGTGAACTGAACGGCACCGTGGGTATCGTCCCCAAGGACTTTCTGCAGCCCGCCTACATCCTTTGAGCTCCAACAGGTACCCACGCACTCTCTTATCATGAGCATTATGGACCATTACTGTGGCCTAATACACAGAAACAGTCCCCCTGGTACTCATCCAGATTGCCACTGAAGTATATTCAGTCGTTGACCTGCCGTTTATGGCATCTGCTGGCTGGGAGAAGTACTGCACAAGGCAATCAGAGAGCCGTAATGGCCAGAGCTTGTGAATAAATATGTGCAACGAAAGCCTGATTACAGCCACGGTTGTCCTATTTAAGAAAATGATTCTGTGATACAGTTAGATAAGCAGAGCTTTAAATGAATTATTAATGCATGTTTTACTGAATATTTATTTTATTTTTCCATTTCCTCCACAGTGCTGTCAGTGACACATCCACACATAACCGCACTGACTGATAACGACACAGTTTGTTCCCTCGATGTCTGATGTAAAGCCTTTGTGTTTCTGGGTGGTGGAATGTACCGCTGCACATCATAAACCTTATTTATATGTCTGCAAACTCCGGTTATTTGAAAACTGGAACTTTCATTTTGGATATATTAACACCACAAATAACTCATGCAGACTGTTTACGTAGGATGGCATTCAGCAGGTATCAGGATGAGCTACACTTGGCTGAAGATGTTTTTATTTCTTTTCTTTAAGTAGAGAATGGTTTGCATGTTGAATAACTGAAATAAAGCACCACTGTTTATTACATTTAAATATTTAGCTTTTGTTTTTATTTTCCCACTAAATTATGAACACCAGATGGCAGCACTGTTCCAATAAGTAAAGCTTAGATTGAAGATATAATGAATAAAAAACTGAGGAATTTTTGAAGAAAACATAATTTAAAATAAACCATTTCTATTATTATATATTTTTTTTATTTTGCTTCCTTCATTTTGATCATATTTATGGGGTTACATTGCTGCAAGCAGGTATTCACACCCCTGTACAGTTGCATGATAAAACTGTGCAGAAGATGAGGAAGTTTGGATCCAACCGGACCTTCGCAAATTAAGTAAGGAAAAGGAAAGAAGAGGGATTTTTCGTCAGAGCATTAACCAAGAAACCAAAGATTTCTTCAGACGAGTTTCAGTATTTTCTTTTGTTATGAAGGTAAAAAAACAAACGAGGAAAAGGCTGCAGCTTGCAAATGCAATCAGTCATTCAGGTCTTAATAAAAAGTGCTCAACAGAAGCAGCTCTTGGCAAAAAATATGAGGCAGCTCAGATGAATCCTTTCTAAAAAAAAGAAAACATGCATTAGAGACTCAGATCAGGAGAGAAAAGAAATATTTCCTACCTATAACTCATCCAAAATAGACCTAATTAGTATAAACTAAGAGTGAAGGCCTTCCTAAACATCCTGAAGGAAGAAACAATGTGGGGATTAGGGCTGAAAAGATTAATAGTGATAAATCATTGAATGAAATAATCAACTGATTTGGTAATCGAAATCGAATTGCAGTGTAAGGCATACTGCCCTCATGTTTTGGATTGTTTCTCAGCTTCAGCACACCCAGATGATTGCAGTTCACCAAAGCGTGTTAATCTGCTATCCACTGATATCAGGTATGTGATCAATTGATAGCAGTGCTGCAACCAGTCTGGGATTGGTTTAGATTTAAAGGTTATGTGCAGGGAAGGCTAGTAAGGTGCTGGTGTGTGAGTTGGGAAACACCCAAGAAATGCAGGCAGAGATGGGAAGTAACGAAGTACAAATACTTCGTTACTGTACTCAAGTAGATTTTTCTGATATTTTTACTTTACTTTACTACTTATTTTTATGCCGACTTTTTACTTCTACTCCTTAAATTTTTAAAAATTGGCTCGTTACTTTAGTTTTGAATCATTTCAATGGAGTTACCGTTATTATTTTTCACGTCATCAATACCAAATTCAATCTAATTGGATGGGAATCTACGTTGCATTTGACGCACCACTACAAGATGAATCGAAGGATTCGGCGGTATTCATTGGCGGCAAATCATTGCAGCTTGGTGGCGGTGGCGTTAGCATAGTAGTATGGACGACGAGATGATTGAAAATGAACACAACGGAGATCTAGTCCTATTGGCAGACATCCATTTAAAATGTAGGCAACGGCATGAAAAAAGTGGTTTCTACTTTTACTTTTATACTTTAAGTAAATTTACAAGCCTGTATTTTGTTACTTTTACTTGAGTAAAGAAGTTAATCAGTACTTCCACTTTTACCAGAGTATTTTTTAACACAAGTATCTGTACTTTTACTCAAGTACGGAAAGTGAGTACTTTTGCCATCTCTGAATGCAGGGCAGTGAATCTCGAAGGCCAGGGTAAAAAACACTGAGCTAGAGGAGCAGTTATAAAAACACAATTCTATAGATAGAAATATCAAACATATATTCCATTGAAGATGACGTTTTTTATATATTCAAATGTGTTCGAACAAATTTTTTTTGATGGTTTGCAATTAATTAAAAATGCATTTTTTTTTTCTTTTTTCTAAATTCCAAGTGTTTGATTATTTAGAAATCTCAATCTACCAAAAGGGTCTATTTTAGATTAATTAAAAAACAGATGTGCATAGAGCAGGGGTCCTAAGACCTGCTATCCTGCATGCTTTCGTTGAATTCCTGCTGCTGCAGTTTACTCAAATAAACAGGAGGCCAACATGTCAATCCGGTAATCTAGAGTGGAGACAATCCACAGACCCACGGACCCAGAGGACCTAGGTTAAAGGCAGTGAATTTACATAGAATTCCTATACAAATCGTGTGGTGTAGGGTGGGGAAGCAGCCAGTGGTGAACTCCCCGCTGTGCAAGCAGAAACCACCACCTGAACCGGTGCATAGAGGGCCCAAATATTTCATTTTATACGTCCAAAGAAATGAAAGTTTCATGAAATATGCAGGTGTAATTAGGGCTGCTGTTATTATTTTGCAAATCAATTAATCTGTTGATTATTTTTTTTTACAAATGAATCAATTAATAATCAGATAGCCAAAGAAGACTTTTTGCTAAATGAAACCAGGCGAAACTAAAACCCTTCCACTTGAATTCTGGATAGAGAATATTGACAGACGGAAAATAATTTTTTAAATCTTAAATGCAAAACGTTTAAATGTTTTTTTCCCCCTCACTATTTTGATATAATCGCTGCTCTAAGTGGGTTGCTCTGTCAGCTAAAGGCATCTTTTAAAGTCTCTATACTTCAGTTAACAATCAATTACTAAATTAGCTGACAATTATTTAAATAATCAATTAATCCAATTAATTGTTTTAGCCCTAGATGTATTTATTTGTCAAATACATGATTCAAATAATAAATATACCATTAAATAATTAAAAATAGATTTAAAATTATGAATTAAATAAGTGTAAATTCAATAAGTTTACCTAAAAAATAAATACTATTTATTTGCTTTGCATTTATACATAAATATAGTGAAGATATCTTGTTTTATTTGGCTAACAGGCTGAAATATTTGGAAAAGTGATTAAAAAAAGTGTTTCCAGCTTGTAAAGACTTGCATAAAAAAATACTTTTAAAAGAGTTATAAAATGAAGTGATTTAAAATGACAATAAAGTTGTCCAAGTCTGAAAAACATATTTTAGCTCTATTTTACCTTTAACCACTAGGTGGCAGCATTACTTCAGTAACTAATCTTTCAGGAAGATGTGTAGAGAAAAATATGGACAATAAAAAGCTGGAAGAAACTATTTATTGAAATAAACATGTAATGTATACGGTGACACAGCCGCTTTAGTGGTTAATTCCCCCTTTCAGATCCACATTTTAATTACAAAAACAGCAGTAGACAATGCAGGGTCCCTTTAAAATGCAGCAAAAATCAGAAGATTAGGAAGCAGTAGTGTGGAAATGGATTCAGCAAACTAAAATATTCAACTGAATTTGCATCAGTAGAACTTAAGGCTCACATATTCAGAGAAAAATGCTTATCTTCAAGAACAAAACAAAAATACAAAAACAATTATGGAGGAAATTACAGCACCCAATGGACAAAGTGCACAGACACCTCTTGAAATGCTCTCGTTGTGAGGTTCCTCTGTTATTGGAGGAAAACATGAATCTGGATAGAAACTGAACATGCATTATTAATTTAATTGAATTTGAACATAGAGAGATAAATGCATTTACTGGCATCCTTCAAAAACATGTTTTCGAATGCATTAAAAAATGTTTTACCCGATATCAAGGATTAGAGGTACGAATAATTGAGCCACAATTCATTTTCTTTTAAAATATTTCTGAAATGTGGGAAATTCCTCCAAGTTGAATAAATGTGCCAATAAAGGCTTTAGTTTGAATCCAACTGGTATCTTTTAAAGGTGCATCTGTTTATATTTGTTTAGACACATAATTTAGCCGTTAAATGTCCAGCATTAAATGTTAGAAACTCATCCGTTGTGGTGACTGGTGAAAACAGGCCTTTTGTCCTTTCTGGTTTACAACTAATAAGAATTATTTTTGACAAACTGTCAATGAGGCTGGAAATAAAAGACCTCTTTGCTATACAGAAAAATATTTCACACATTCCCCCTTTTGAAAGTCCACAAAACGGCTTGAGCTTCAAAAATGTTTTCACTCACAGCAGAAACATCCACAGGGGAGGAAAAAAAATCCCACAGCATCATTTTAACGAGCTCTTATCTCACCATCCAGTATATTTTCCATCCTACTGTGTTAAAGAGGTTAATGGCCAATAATGGAGAGGAGATGAGGAGCATCTTCCTGTGAAATATGTATCTCTGGCGCCCTCTGGTGGTCAAGATATATATATAGATAGATCTATATATATATATAGATCTATATAGATCTATATATAGATCTATATATAGATCTATATATATATATATATATAGAAATCAGGCGAATCAAACTAATGAGAAACATTTTATCTTAGATGAGAACTGTTTTTTTTTTTTTTTTTTTTTAACTGATTAGCCATTTTTAAACCCAACAGCAACAAAACGGGTAACCATGACTAAATCTGCTGCTCTTGGATGAATATGCCCTTATTTTACTTCTGAATCAGGTGATTTTTGACCTTCAGTATTCATACCCCTCATCTTTTTGTCACAACCTCAAACTTTAATGTACTTTATTGGGATTATATGCGAGACCAACATATAGTTATTAATGCCAGTGAACTGTATAACATTGACACCTCCGCTCCCTTTATTTTTCTGTCCTGAAATAAAATCCAGCATAAAAATTGAAAGCAAAATGAAAATGAAGAGTGGGTTTGCTTGACATGCATCTTGCAGAGAGGAAGAAAATAAAATAAAATAAAACACCTGCTAAAGGCTGTAAAATAATTTGGGACTGGGATGGAGGAGTCCTCATCCAGCAGGACACCAAGCATAGAGCTGGAGCTACGATGAAAGGTTCAGATCAAAGCATAATAAGGTGCTGAAACGGCCCAATCGAAGTCCAGACCTAAATCTGAATTGTTGTAGCTGTAACCTCGATAAAAGGCAGCTCTAAATAAAAGCGTGAGCAGCACTTTTTTTAGAGCTTTATATGAGAAACATTTTTCCATCCGTATCCTGATGAGATGCTACTTTGTATTCGTATATCTAAAAAAAAATATCCCAATAAAATCCACTAAAGTTTGCATTGGAGCATGGAAAAAAAAAGAATATGAAAACATTTTAAAGAGTATAAATACTGTTTAAAGGCACTGTATGTGTAGGTTTTATGTAACAGAATCATCATTTTGTTTGTGCCTTGTTTATTTTTCTTTGGCAGAAGAAAGTAGATCATGGTTGTGGCTCAGTGAAGGCGGAACAGCGTTTGGTTTCTCTGACCTGCTAGGTCCCCTCTGAGCCACCCAAAGCTACTGAGGCTGATGCTTCCTGCTTTGGGACGTTACAGTCCTCTAGAGACTGACAGCTGCTCTCCAAGATGCTAAAGTCACAGCTTTCCGTCGGATCTCCGTCTGCTGTAGCCGGTTTAGGCTCCAGAGATTTACTAATGGGGGCGTGCTGCTGGTCATCTCCCTCCCAGTTCGAGGCATCCTCTTGTTCCTCGTTACATCCATTGATGTAAAAGATGTTGGGAGCAGAGCCCTCCACTCCTGACCAGTTCCTGATGTCGTCAGGTGACGTCTTCATCTGTATGGAGTCCCCCACCTCCTCGGCTAGACTCTCCTCCTCGCTGCACCTGATGATGCTCTCGTTGGAAGACTGGCTGTCCTCGTCACTCTCGCCTCCGTCCTCATTTGCGTTTATTTGTTGGGGTGAATCACAGAGATCCACTTCTGGTTCACTGTTCAGATCCCGGCTCTCCAAATGAACGATCGTCTCCTCTTTACTCTCTGATTCCTCATTTGTCAGGCTCTCCGGCTGCGTGTCATGACCTGGTTTGACATCTGGAAGGTGAGTGTTACAAACCAAAGAGAGATCCTCAGATGCGACATGGCGTTCTACAACTTCCTCCTCATTGTTACTGTCCTCCGCAGATAAAACCTCCTCTGACTCTGAATTCTTCCTTTCTTCAGAGTCTGAAGGATCAGCTCTGTCCTCAAAGACACTGTCCCCTTCACAGCTGTCTTCGTAGCCCGCCCCCATGGCTGAGTGCACCTCCACCGGAGTCAGAATCACACAGCTATCTTCTGCAGGGCTGAGGCTCTCTGAATCGTCCAGGATCTCCCCCAGGTAGAAGGAGGCCTGGGTGGAGCCCCGCTGCTCAGCCACCTCCATCTGGTCGCTCCCCTCGGAGATCCTCATCAAGGCGTTCTCTCTGCGCTGCGATGATGATGCAACCGGCCTTTGCTCACAGAGCTCCAATATGTCTCCTAATGGGTCTGAATCTGGGATGGGTTTAGAGTTAACGGTTTTGTTTGGTTGCAGGGAAGGCTGGTGAGGAGCCGGACTGTTGAGAGAGAACAAAAAAAGCCTCATTTTAAACTAATGAAAAAGCTGAAAACACACAAATCCTTCCATGGCTGCTCATTTTTAATTCTTAGTACTTTTTAGATCCTGAAATTACTTCCTCAATATAATCATTTCTTTATTACAGCTTAACATAATCCGTTAGCATCTTAGTTTGAAAGTTACTTGAAATGAAAGAATAAAGACTATAACCATTGAGTGAGAAGGTGCGTTCAAACATTTGACTGGAAGTAATTTGTAAATAAAATAAATCTGTCAGACCAGCATACCCATAGTCAATATGCATGCGCAAGACGTCAGATTTGCATACGTCTGACACTATAAGTGGAAGGAAGTCTACTAGGCTATTTTATTTATGCGTGATATGAAAAACAAAAAGTTGTAGTTGAAGTTAAACACATAAACTTACCAGAAAACATACCGAAAGTCAAGTAGGTTACTTTACACCCTGACATAGCAGCTAACCAGTCTAAATGTCACACTGATCTGCAAATGTATCAGAAGTCGTCCCTTTGTGCATGCGTATTACTATGTGTATGCTGATCTGATAGAACGCTGGCTGCTGTCTTAACGGGAATAAATAAAAATATGGAAGAATAAGGATGAGTTTGAGAACACAGCTCTTAACACTCCTCCCTCTTCATACCTTTCGATGGACTCATAGGAAACTGTCAGACTGGGCTCCCTGATGGAGTCCTCCTGCTGAGCCTGAGCCAGCCCCCGATTGGAGGAGGCGTAGGTGAGGATGGCGTCCGTCACAGTGTACGGCGTGAGGCCCTGAACGCAGTCCAGGATGTGACCAACCGGCAGCTGGGTCTGCAGGAAGAGGTGGAGCTGGCTGTCCGACAGACACACTGTGGTGTGCACCACTCTGAAAGAAAAACACAGAGCGTCCAAGAAAACCCCCAACAGTACGGAAGAAAGTTGGACTAGAAAAGAGAAAAACTGACTTGTCCAAGAAGGTTTGAAGTCCTCTCCGTCTCTTTTCCAGAAAGTCCTCGTTGTTGAAGGAGAAGAAGGATTTTCCAGGAAGTTCTGGGACTGGACTAAAGAACAACAAGGTCTTATTAGTGTCTGCTTGCCTACAAATGCCTCCCACAATATCATGTTGACACCTTAAATCAGTGTGATGTGAAGGTTATCAGTCATCCAGGTCATAGTTATTCCAAAAAAAAAAAAAGAGTTTGAAGATGCTTTGCTTCCCATCCAGGAAACTTTTTCAATTCAAAATGTTAGGAATAGCATTGAGTTCGAGGATTTATACATGTTCATAATATATATTGTAGGTACAATGCAGCAATTGAGTTAATCCCCTTCCTGTTATCATCACAGCCCCACAGCCAACAATCCCCTTTAACGACCGACCTTTCAGACACTGAGATGGGTATGGGGTGTTGCAGTCTAACAAAAGATGGCAACCGACCCCATTCCTAATGGGTGGACCCCTTTGTCTGCTCCAATTTGCATGTTTTTAAAACAAAAACAAAGCTTTATTGGGCTGCATGGGTGCGTCTTATAAATGAATAGATGAATTACATCAATAGATGATATAACCCAATAGGGCTCGGGATCATATCTCTCCTATCCTGGCTTCTCTTCATTGGCTTCCTGTTAAATCAAGAATAGAATTTAAAATCCTCCTTCTCACATATAAAGCCTTAAATGGCCAAGCTCCATCTTATATCAGAGATCTGATTGTTCCTTATGTTCCTAACAGAGCACTTCGCTCTCAATCTGCAAGTTTACTAGTGGTTCCTAGAATTTCTAAAAGTAGAATGGGAGGCAGATCTTTTAGTTATCAGGCTCCTCTCCTGTGGAACCAACTACCAGTTTTAGTCCGTGAGGCAGACACCCTGTCTACTATTAAGGCTAGGCTTAAAACTTTCCTTTTTGATAAAGCTTATAGTTAGGGTGGCTCAGGTTATCCTGAGCTATCTCTATAGTTATGCTGCTATAGGCTTAGACTTTTGGAGGACATAGGGACCCCCATTTCATCATTCTGCTTCATTCTCTCTCTGTTCTCCTATTCTACAGAATCTGTTAGTTCAATCTCTAACCTTCTGCTCTCTCTGCTTTTCCTCAGAGTAGCTTTGCCTCGTCTGTTCCTGTTTGGCTGTGACGTCATCCTGGAAAGAAACATCAGCTGTGCTGCTTCTATCAACACCCTTGTTTATAGATGTTGGAGATCGGCCTGTTTTCCAGTGTGGTCCTGTTTCTCTGACTGTGACTGTGTGGATGTGCTCTCTTCGTCCTCTGGCATGGGAGCTGCCTTGGAGCTCGTCTGCCTGGCTGTGTGTTTCCTGGACGGGGCCGCCTTTTACGGCTGCTTTTTGTATCTCTGCTTCTGTCTCCTTGAACCCCAGTCGGCCTCGGCAGATGGCCGCTCACGCTGAGCCTGGTTCTGCTGGAGGTTTCTTCCTGTTAAAAGGGAGTTTTTCCTCTCCACTGTCGCTGCAGGCATGCTTGGTGTGGGGGATTGTATTTGAGTCGGTGAGTCAATGCAATCAACTGGTTTTCCTTAGATAGAAAACTTTGTATCAATTTGACTGTATGATCTGGTTGAACTGTAGAGTGCCTTGAGATGACATGTGTTGTGAATTTGGCGCTATATAAATAAACTGAATTGAATTGATTCACGTTGCATTGTGGGACGTCGCGGTCATATTGACGGCTACGCAAACGTAAACATACACTATATTGCCAAAAGTATTTGCTCACCTGCCTTGACTCACATATGAGCTTAAGTGACATCCCGTTCCTAATCCATAGGGTTCAATATGACGTCGGTCCACCCTTTGCAGCTAGAACAGCTTCAACTCTTCTGGGAAGGCTGTCCACAAGGTTTAGGAGTGTGTTTATGGGAATTTTTGACCATTCTTCCAGAAGCGCATTTGTGAGGTCGCACACTGATGTTGGACGAGAAGGCCTGGCTCTCAGTCTCCGCTCTAATTCATCCCAAAGGTGTTCTATCGGGTTGAGGTCAGGACTCTGTGCAGGCCAGTCAAGTTCATCCACACCAGACTCTGTCATCCATGTCTTTATGGACCTTGCTTTGTGCACTGGTGCACAGTCATGTTGGAAGAGGAAGGGGCCAGCTCCAAACTGTTCCCACAAAGTTGGGAGCATGGAATTGTCCAAAATGTCTTGGTATGCTGAAGCATTCAGAGTTCCTTTCACTGGAACTAAGGGGCCAAGCCCAGCTCCTGAAAAACAACCTCACACCATAATCCCCCCTCCACCAAACTTTACACTTGGCACAATGCAGTCAGACAAGTACCGTTCTCCTGGCAACCGCCAAACCCAGACCCGTCCATCAGATTGCCAGATGGAGAAGCGCGATTCGTCACTCCAGAGAACGCGTCTCCACTGCTCTAGAGTCCAGTGGCGGCGTGCTTTACACCACCGCATCCGACGCTTTGCATTGCACTTGGTGATGTATGGCTTGGATGCAGCTGCTCGACCATGGAAACCCATTCCATGAAGCTCTCTGCGCACTGTTCTTGAGCTAATCTGAAGGCCACATGAAGTTTGGAGGTCTGTAGTGATTGACTCTGCAGAAAGTTGGCGACCTCTTCGCACTATGCGCGTCAGCATCCGCTGACCCCGCTCCGTCAGTTTACGTGGCCTACCTCTTCGTGGCTGAGTTGCTGTCGTTCCCAAACACTTCCATTTTCTTATAATACAGCTGACAGTTGACTGTGGAATATTTAGGAGCGAGGAAATTTCACGACTGGATTTGTTGCACAGGTGGCATCCTATCACAGTTCCACGCTGGAATTCACTGAGCTCCTGAGAGCGACCCATTCTTTCACAAATGTTTGTAAAAACAGTCTGCATGCCTAGGTGCTTGAATTTATACACCTGTGGCCATGGAAGTGATTGGAACACCTGATTCCAATAATTTGGATGAGTGAGCAAATACTTTTGGCAATATAGTGTAGCTCTGACACAACGTTGTTGTTGAAAGAAGAGACGTAGAAGTAGAGAGAAAAAAGATGTCAAAATCCCGAAAAAGATCTGGAATTTACCAGGACACATTAAATAGAGAAGCCAGGGACCGGTATGTTGACAAAATCAGCATTATTAATAATTTGGATCCATATGAAGTTCCAAACAATGAGTGGAGCACCGATGAGTGAGTGCCTATACTTCGAAACAGTTCCCAAGCTACAAGTCCTTGGAGTCTCATGTGCAGTTCATGAATGGATGGGTTCAGGAGCTGCAGATCATAAAGCCAGCAAACAGTGGGAACACAGTAATCCGTACGAAGGTAAGCTGTGATCAGACGGGCTCTGGAACCTGCTAGTTTAGCAACTGCTAACCGCTAATGCTAACAACCACTCACGCATGTAATGTACTTTTAACTAGCTGCTATGTGTTTCAAATGTGTAGTTAGTAACGTTAACTGCCAACCCTCCGGGTTTCTCACGTATTTGAGCCTTTTCCCGCTGCCGTTTTTATTATTTTCCCGTAAAAGATCCCAACTTTGAAGGAAAGAAACGCTGTAGGCTATAAAATAAAACCGTGCATCTTTGACTTACCAGAATGAAAATGCAGGGAACACACTCTCAATGACATTGGAATACTGTGGAAAGTAATGTTCGGTCGTCTTACAGCCGCGATCCAAGCTAGCCGACGACTCTTAATATCTTACGCTTGGTCTCCATGGTTACGCCTCCAGGCAGGAAAGCGGTGAAAAGTTAACCCATTTTCTATTTTTCCCATGGCGATCATGGGTTGAGCTGTTACAGCCCATAATACAGCAACGGTTTACCATGGTTGAAATCAAGTTAAGGTGAAATTAATCAGGCTGAGAAGGAGTACAGTATGCGGTAGTCATAGGCAGTAGTCTGAGCCGCAGTAAAAGAGGCCGTCAATATGGCGGCAACGCAAAGTGCTTACGTCATGACGACCAAGCCCTATAGAGGTCTTTTTTTCCTACTTATTAATAACAGCAGTGTTGACAACTATGAAGAGTACAATGAACAGTTAAACTTTAAATAACTAAACTTAAAATTATAATTTAAAAGACATTATGGTTTATTTCATTGCAATATTTAATTTGGTGCCGTTTACTGGGGGATTTTTTGTGGTTAAATTTTAAATCATTTATAAAACTAGCAAAAAAAGATTTTTCTGAGATATGAAGCTGCCTTCAGGACCCTTCAGAGTCACTGTTCATTTAAGTATTCTTTATTTTAAGAGAGTAAAGGAGAATTTGTTTATAATGTTGATCCCTTTGCAGGTTTTTTTCTTTACAGAGCTCCAGATGAGAAACCTTCAGCGTGTTAGCAGGAAGTAAATGACTTTATATCAAAACCATTTTCTATTTGACTAAACAGCACAGAAGGGGAGTGTCTGACTTACACCAAGCCTGCATTCTTCTGCAGCTTCTTCCTGAGCCACTCAAACTCACTGTAGCGCCGCCGCACACACGACGTCTTAGCCGTGAAGGCTCTACTGTTAGTCTGAGGAGCAAAACACAAGAGGTAAACCATGAATCATGCAGAACCACATAATAAATTCTCTCAAATCTTTTCACAGCTCCTGAACTTACCTAATAAACGAAAAAAAATCAGGATTTCCATTTCAAATTTCCATTTTATTCCCAGATCTATTCTGTTAATTTTATTTCTATACTGATATAAAAGCGCAGTAGAGGTAAGACTGAATGAGACTGCTGCAGGTTATTTAATAGATGTAGTTTATCAAATGATAATTATGAAATGAGTCCTGTTTATGCCTTACACAACTTTAATCCTTATCTGATATTTCATAAACGTACAGCTACATGCTGTAAGTTGGTGCATTTAAAATTCTAAATGTTAGTTTTATGTAGATCAATCAATAAAAGTGTAAGCACATTTTTTAGTATTTTTCTTGCTAATCTAAAATACAATGGGTAACCAGTTAGTGCAAATGTGTTATTAAACCAAGAAAATCTTATTTTACACCCAAAGCTTCAACAATTGATATCTTAGAGTACATCTTATCAGCTCTTCTGCTGCAAGGGCTTAAAATATCAAAATAGGATTAAAAAAAAAGAGAATTTGAATTTTCTGAGAATAAACATCTTATAATAAACAGAATAAAAGAAAATACTGTATTCATCCAAGCTGTATTAGGGTGTGACAGAGCCTCTCCAACATGTTGGATCTGTTCCAGTAACGTGTGACAGAGTCCGCTGTGATACGAGCATCACAAGCTGCTCCCCATAGACGCCGTGTAACTGATTAACCATGCTTAGAGTCATGTTATCGAAGCAAGCACGAGCGTCCTGAGGGAATTTTTTCATAATTTAAAAAGGCTGCCGTTATGGGTAATAAAAAAAAATAGATACTCTGTTATGGGAGAAACAAAGTACACCCCTGCATACTTCCTCCATAGGACTGAAGAATCAAACAAGCAAGCAGAGCTTTGGCTGGATGCATCTATGAAGCATCGAGTTGTAATGACGCCATGCCAAGCGGGAAAGACATCAGCAGTGATGCTATATATTTATTATAAGACTGGATGGAGTTAATCTACTTTAGATTAATTAAGTGGAAAACATGTAAAACTATTCCAGTCAGATTAGGATTGAATCTGCCACAAGTTCACCTCAAAACCAGACCATGACAAAATGACAGTGAGGAAAAACTTTGGATGGTTTAAAAGGGAAAAAATAAACCTGCTAAGCACAGTGGAGGCTGTATGGAGAAGTTTATTTCCCCCAAGATTTGCAGTGAACATTTAAAATCCCCAAACAACAGATCAAAAACATACGACACACGAACTGATGTGGGCTCATGTGAGGTCATATGATCTTGGTCAATTTCATGAGTCACCACCCACACCACACGTTCATCTGGGCAAGACACTTTTACTGCTGGCAAAGCATTCTTCAACCCTAGCCGCTTCCTTGACAACGGCATCAACTCCTGTCTGAGTGAAACTTTAGAAACTGTCTGCTGAGGGTTTTTTTTAAATCACAGAATGAGGAATCTATACTGAGTAGATTTTAGCTGTAAAAATGTTAGAGTCTATCAGTTTAAGTCTTGTTTTTTTATCAATCATTTTGAATCATTCTGAAATTTTTATTTTTTAACCATGAAAATAAATGGTCCCTAAAATACTTCTCTCTGAGCCCTTCAATGAGACTTTCCCGGTACCAATACTCACATGTAGGAATATTTTGTAATCGACGTATGAATTCCAGGAACCCTCGTTCTGAATGCGGGGATCTTGGACTCGCACTGCAACAAACTCCTTCAAGACAGAAACAGATGTTAATATCACGATTATTATAATAATAAAAAATTGCTATTTAAATACTTATTAAAGATGTTTTTTGTTCACTGGGAGTTTATTTGGTTTCTGTTGCTTGTATATAAATGACCAAAAGGAGAACTGGTGGTAGAGGGTAGGAAGTTACTCACATCTTCTTCGTGATTACTGATCATCCTACCGAGAACCGCACTATGAAGAGAAAACCAGAGACCAATGAATGGCTTCAAACAGGCTGGAAATTGATGCATCTGCAATACTTTCGTCTTAAATTGGGGAAATCATCTCCCAAAAGGGAAGTAGGTCAGTAAAATCTGCCAAGTCACCTTGTGTGGCTATTTTTCTTCTTCATTTGAATGCTATTTATAGAACTTACTTATTTGTTTCATAATAATTAATTAATATTAAAAGTCCTTCAATCTGATGAATTTAATTTTACCCTGAAACACTTTAAAGTTTTTTTTTCACATAGGATAATGATGCATTAAGTCTTTCATTTCCAATTTTTCTAGTACCTCAATGAATTAATCTATGCCATATTTTTTCTATTTTAGAATTTAGATAATTGGAAATAAACAATAATCTGAATCAACATCCCAGACCTCAAAGAAACAGAGTTAATAATATCCAGAAAGAGCCTGAAACGTGCAGCTCTAATACTGACCCATTTTCCATAAAGTTTTGGCTTGTGTCATCTAGTTTAAAGTGAATATCAGTATTGAGCATTAGACACCACTAAGCAATTAAAATAATTGGTTTCAGGATGAGAGCACATCAGCGATGTTATGGATTTCCCCCATTCCTAATGCTTAACTACTTAAAAGCTGTTAATGAACCACAAGAAGCAATTGATTGAAGATTTGGTAGATAAAGAAAAAAAGACACAGGTCTCACTCAGCAGATATTAAAATCTGACAAATATAGATGCAAATATAATAGCTTCTTCTGCATCAGCTTAAGACCAATGATGATAAAAAAAAAGTGCTCCTGCCTTATGGTTACAAACATTTATGCTGATGTCTTTTTATCTTCCTTTTACAGATTATTTTATAATGATTCGCTGTTTTCTCCCCATATTCTATACAGGATAGTTTATCTATTTATTCTGTCAGCATTTCAGTCAGCGTGTTACAAAGGTGGACTTAAAAAAATCCGTACAGACAAAAAGACTCTTTCTGTATGATGGTTTATGTCAATTTGTTTTTAAAGCACCAAAAATATACTAAATTAATTTGTTAGCACTACAGCTTCACGATACAGAATTACATCTATTATGAATGTCCATATAAATCTGAATAAGATTACAAGGGCAAATGATGCAGTACATGTTGGAGATCGGCTTGTTTTCCAGTGTAGTCCTGTTTCTCTGACTGTGACTGGCTGGATGTGCTCTCTTCATCCCCTGACAATGGAGCTGGCTCGAAGCTCGTCTGCCTGGCTGTGTTTCCTGGACGGGGCCGCCTTTTTACAGCTGCTTTTTGCATCCCTGCTTCTGTCTCCTTGAACCCCAGTCGGCCTCGGCAGATGGCCGCTCACACTGAGCCTGGTTCTGCTGGAGGTTTCTTCCTGTTAAAAGGGAGTTTTTCCTCTCCACTGTCGCTACAAGCATGCTTAGTTTGAGGGATTGCATTCGAGTCAATGCAATCAACTGGTTTTCCTTAGATGGAAAACTTTGAATCACTTTGTCTGAATGATCTGGTGAACTGTAAAGTGCTTTGAGATGACATGTGGTGTGAATTGGCGCTATATAAATATACTAAATGGAATAGAATATGGGAGGGGTTCATATTCTTCATGCTCTATCCTGTACAACTACATGAAGTCATTTCCATTTAGTTTTCTTGGATTTAATGCACGAATAACACTTTTGAGATGCAAAAGCTCTGGAGTTGAGAGAAGCCTTGTGAGTTTTACAATGAAAGAGATTATTTGTTAGCCATTTAAAAAATACTCTTTTTAGGTTCTGCATAAGTCAATGTCCAAGTGCTTGGACATTGGCATTTCTAATAAACTATATATATATATATATATATATATATATATATATATATATATATATATATATATATACATATGGGGATTTTGTTTATTTATTTTATACTTCTTTAATAAGTGATGGACAAAAAAAAACGACAGACCGCTAAAAAAAAAAAAAAAAAAGCCAGTAAAAATACAATTACAAACATCCCAGAGTAGATAAATACCAGTACTGTTAAAAACTAGCCTATCTTGTTCCTCTTCTTTCCAACTGACAGCAGTGCTTAGCGCAGTTTATTACAATAAGTTTAGCATAGTCTGTTCCCGAGTAGCAGTGGCTAAAACTAAGCAGCTGTAACTACATGACATATAATTTGTTTTGTTTTTTTCAGGCCTGATTAATTGTTTGATTAGAAGTGCACACCAGATAGCTAAATGGTTTTAGCTAATCGACAGTTACTTACTTTCACAAGGTCTCTCGTGGCTTTCTGTCTATCATTCAGTCCACCGTTGGAACCGCTGCCCTGCTTGTGGATTCTATTTAACCAGAGAACAAAACATTTCGCTTAAACGGCTGAGCCTTGTTTTTGACTCCTTTCCCATTTCGCAAGTCACAGTCGTTGTTACGTTTCAGCTACGTCATCACGTTAGAAGGGTCACGCTGGGAGAAAGAGGGAGGATCTAGGCCGTGTCAGCCATTTTGTGAGTGGCAAATTCTTTTAGTATGCTTAAACCACGTAATTTAGGAAACCGCAATGCATTGTGGGCTTTATTATTGTTTATCCTATGTACAACACGTTGCCCATGTGTTCCCCTTTGTAGTAACTGTACAACATTAAGGGATGAAGTGCATTACTATTATTTCCTCATAATCCCAAACTTAGCGGAACTTACAAAGACTGAGATTATTCTTGGGATTCTGTGAAACAATATGAATTTTGGAAATATAATGAACACTATAATATATATAAGATTTATATTTTTATTCACAAAACCGTTTTCTAAAGGCCAAGTCACCAATTTGTTCCATTATGATTTATACCTACTATTCTCATCTATAAAGCTGATAGAAAAACCAAATCATTCAATAACTTTTTCACATGCTAAACAATTGAAGGATTTTGAAAAACAACCTATTCATCTGGTTAAGTTTTTATTTTTATTTATTATTTTTTTTTTGCAGTCTACGGAAGACGATTAGGGCCACTGAAAAAATACGTGTTAACTGATTTTTAAATATTATTTGGTTTAATGTAGGAAAAAAGTCAGAATTCTGATTTTAATCTCAGAATTCTGACTTTTTCTCAGAATTCTAACTTTATTCTCAGACAAGGACAATCAATACACCACAAAGAGGATACAGAGAAGCATGACTCTTTTGTTTTTCTGACCTCGGTCTACTGTGTTAACTTTTCTGTTAAACACACAAAACAATGACTTGCAGTGTCATGACACGCTTACCCAGACAAATGGGAATTATTAAAATTGGTTTGTTCTACGACATTACATCTGTTAAGAAAAGAAAGCTTAATTATCTCCTTAGGGAAATTCTGATTCCAGCCGGTTTAACCGATCAGAAATGCTGTCATCATAGTGGATGATCTATAACAATGAGTAAAGTTATCATGTGTAAACCAGTTAACTGGATGCTTCCTGATGTGCGAGTTTAGCTTGAATCAGCAGCCAACATGCCTGTCCTCGTCTTTGTGCTTTATGTGATTTCAAATTAGTTTCCATAAAAAGGGCTGAATGAATAACTGCAGTGTCTTTCTCTAATACCACTTTTGTACATTTTGTTATATTACAACCACAATCTTCAGTGTGTTTTATGTGGATTGCATGTGAGAGACCAACATAAAGTGTTATATAATTGTGAAGTAGAAAGTAAACAGTACATTATTTAATTTATTTGAGAAATAACAAACTGAAATGCAAGGTGTGAAAAAGTATTCAGAAACTTTTTCGCTGAGTGTAACCAACTTCCTTCAGAAGTTCCCTGATTGCTAATAACTAAACAGAGTCTATTTGTGTTTCATTTAATCTCCCTTCAAATACAGCAGCTCTGTGGAAGCCTCAGATCTTGGTTAAGAAAATTCTGGCGTTCCCTAAGGATCCATCCTAAGGCCCTTTTTTAAATCTACATGCTCCTACTGAATCAACATAAGTTACCATAGCTATGTAGATGAAACATAGCTTAACCTTTAGATGTCACAAGATGACTATGGACTTATTTTAGCTCTCGGTAAATGCACAGCAGAGATCAATGCATGGATGTGACAAAATTTTCTTAAGCTAAATCAAGACAAAATTGAGTTAAAATTATTATGAGCAAAAAAAAAAAAAAAGTCCAACATTTATGCCTCAAAGCTTCGGTTAATCCAGCTGGAATCCACCAATCAGGCTATAAATATGGGAGTAGTGATGGACTCAGACCTGAAGCTTCATAGGCTCATAGTAACCAAGTCAGCCTTCTAGCACCTAAAAAACATCTCCAGCATTAAATGGCTAATGTCCTTGAAAGGACCTTGAAAAAAATGTAATATATTCATCTTTAGTAGAGTTTATTACTGCAACAATGTCTTCAGAGGTCTGTCTAAAAAGTGGATCACACAGCTGCAGTTGATCCAAAATGCTGCTGCCTGCGTCCTCAGTCAAACAACGACAGTAGAGCACATTACCCCAGTTCTAAAGTAGTTTCCACTGGCTCACTATTTCTTAGATGATATGTTTTAAAATAATTCTGTTAGTCTGTAAATGACTGAATGATTTAGCTCCAAAAACACATAATTCAGTGTATCAACAACCCTCTAATCTAATCTACCATGCATACCCACAACTACAATTAAATATGGATTTACAACATTTAGTTCTTATGCTACACTAATCTGAAATAGAAATCTGTAAAAGAGCTGAAACCCTAAAACCCTTTGAAACAACATAAACAAATAATTTTTTCAAAGTGGCCTTTGACCCAGCTATTTAAACATTATTACTTAAGTGTCAATTCTAACTTGATATCCGTTTTTTAATACTTTTTTCATCACTCATTTAACTATTGTTTTATACAGACCTGTTATTTTAATGTGTCACTTTTATTCTTTTTAACTATTTGTGTTGCCTTGATATCAATGCAATGTAATTTCCTTTTTCTCATCTACAGCTTTAAATTGTCTTGTCACTTAAATGCTATAGAAATAAACTTGCCTTGCCTTACCTATCGGGGACCAAACAACATATTAATGTCCAGAGATGATGAAGAGATGAGGCACCATGAGACACTCAGACACTTGAGCTGATTGCTTCAGGAAAGGGATCATTTCTTGGTTTCATTTCCACATGAAACCCCCAACTGGCTGAGTGAATAATGTCAGTCAGTAATATATTCTGTGATACTCCCATGGATTTTATTTCTAATTCAGAGCCCTTGAAAGCACTAGCGGTTCTAGACCAAATGTATCAGGGGGCCATGAGGGGGCCAGCGTGTTTTCATGGGGGCACAGAAAAGCATGAAATATCAAACAGGGCAAGGAATTCAAATATATCAATATAACAGCATGAAGTGAAATTTCTATTCAATTAGATTTAATTAAAATAAAAAAAAATGTCTTATTGGATCAATATACATTCATAATTAGGAAATTTACATATCTTTGACTTAATTTAAGCTAAAATCTGAATTAGAAAAAAAAACTGATAAATTCAGCTTTTTTTAACATTTAGCAGATTAAAACTGGGATCCTATCTCAATACCACTGAAGCTATCATGTTACTGTTTTTAAATAATTAGTAAAACAGAATTTTACAGAAAAAAAAAACATGGAATAGATCCAAAGGACCTATCAGTAACCATGTCTGTTCCGGCGCAGTTGAGAGTATTATGTCTTCAATACAGGGGCCATAACAGGGGCCAGGACTTGATCTATGGGGGCACTGGCCCCTGTTGGCCCCTGTCTAGAACTGCCCATGCTTGAAAGTCATTGTAAATACAGTTGAACAGTAGTCTAGTTATAAAAAAAAAAATACGAGGGGAGATGGTGGAATTTTTTTTGTTTTTTTTGTTTTGTTTTTTGGAAGCATACATAGCCTAATTGATATAGTCTATTAGACTAAAACAATATACATGTATGGTTGTTAGATGTCAGGTACACCTTGACGTTGACCAATGCACCTTACAGTAGAACTGCAGTCAGTCCCTGCACTGGTGTGGCAATCAGTGTCCATACATAGATAGGGACAAATGCAGAGGACAAATTTCCCAATGGGATCAGCTTCATAGTCATGGTTGGCCACTTTAATTTAATTTATTATGTTCAGGATACTCATAAGCCCACAGCCTCCAAATGTTTAAATGACAATATTATTGCCATTACTGTTGATATATAGTCAAAATTTTACACATTCAGTAATAAAATGTCACAGGGGATGGTGTGGGGGATGTTCATTTAAGAATGGGGAGGATTTTTTAAGATTTTTCCAAGAAGGGGGATGCCATCCACCCTCAACTCGTGTACTGCATATGAACTATTGATTTCTTTTATGATCATCACATGTGTATAGTGGAATTGTTTTGAAATTTTCTGTGTGTGTAATTTCTAAGAAAAAGTAAAAACCTGACAGTTTTTTTTTGTTTGTTTGTTTTCCTGTCATTTTAGTAAAATGGCAGACAGACAGGGAAAGTGGTGGTGAAAGTTGGAATAAACCACAGGATATGTTGGCAACTTGGACAAAAAATTAGATTTTATTTTGAAATAACACTTTTGTTTTTAATGGATTCCTTTTTGAAATTACTCCCATGGCCTTTGCAACCACCTGTTCACAAGGCACTGACTGAACCTTTCACCACAGATGAGGCTTTGTTTTGGTAAATAATAATCATCTCAAATATAAAAAAAAAAACATAAGAAATTGTTTTTAAAAAACAGTTTTTGACAAGCAAATTAATGAAATGAGCAATTGGTCTTTAATATGTTATATTTATATCTCCTTATTACAGGGTTTAATGCCAGGATTTTTATAGGAGTAATTTGTTTTTTTATTATTTATCTATTGCTGTTTCTCTGCTGCACCCATATATGCTTCCTTTTTTGCCTCTGCCAATCAGACCCACTCTACACGCCACCATTTCTTTCATTCGTCCCCCCTTTTTCATATTGGGAGGCTACATTCATATCTGCCCTTAATATGCAAACTGTCAGACTTACAGAGGGAGATATTGCTCTGATACATGCAGCACAGTTGGGTAGTGAGGCCTCATAAGTTTTATGAATGAGTGGCAAGAAGAAAGGCATTGATGAAATAAATGTAGCAGTTTTCCAGCAGCCATGGAAACACACCAAACACATCACTCTGAACACAACACCCCACTGTGAAATATGGTGGCGGCAGCATCATGCTCTGGGGATGCTTCTTTTTAGCAGGAACAGTAAGATGGATGGAGCCCAATACAGGGTAATCTAAGAAGAAAACCTGTTGGAGTCTGTAAAAGACTGGGGCAGAGGTTGACTCTCCAGCAGGACGACAACCCCAAAACAAAAAGCCAGGTTTTAAAGAGAAAGTTCGGTCAGCAAGGAATAATCAATGGATCATTATTCATGGAGCGGCCATTTTTGCCCAAATATACTAACACCCCCCTCCTGCCATCTTCCTGCAGTGACATCACGGTGCGGAAAGCCTAGCGCCATTCTCCCCGCTTTACAAGCAAAATCAATGGGAACTACTAGACACATCTGCAATCAACAACAATTATTGAAGATTTCCAGACAACTTCACCATTGAAATTCACCAGAGCTATAGTTAAACTGACAATTCCCTCATGCATGGCAGATGGATGTTGTAATACATCCGGTAAAAGTTAAAAAACAAAATCAGTTATTTCACCTTTTTGATTTATGATCCTCCATGGACGGAATCATTGTTAGATTGCCAACTCGAAGAGGGAGGATTTGCCATTGAACTTCTGGCCAGAGAAAAATCACGTAATATGTAGCCAACATTTGGAAGACGAATGTTTTCAAGATGACTTGGATAATAGCGCGTTGTGACAAACACCAGATACAGCACTGGGACTTGCTCAACAGCTGATACCGCACCGTGACATCACAAACCAGTAGGTGGCAGTAGTGTTCTTTGACAAACATGGATGCCTCCAGTAAAGCACATTCAAATGAAAATTACTCTTAATTAAAAACACTGATCATTTATTGAACAATATGTAATAATTTCATATTTAAAGTTCTTTCAGAACTTTGAATTCTGAATATGACCAGACTTCTCCTTTAAAGGAACATAATCATGTAGAAAGGAATCAAGTAACGAAGTACAAATACTTGATTACTGTACTTAAGTACACTTTTTACGTATCTACACTTTATTCCATTACTTATTTTTCTTCCTACTTCTGACTTCTACTCAACAAAAAATTGTCACAAATAAAACATTTTTTTTTTAACATAAAAAACTTTTGATGGTCATGCCTGCTAAGAACTCTTGATTAAAATAGCAATAATATTTGAGTTTAGCATGAATCTTAGTGGCCTTTGCTATTTTGGCCCTTGGCTTTGTGCAAATCACTGTCTTCATCGAGCCCACTGTAGTGACAGATCTACAGCACATCTGAATGTCACCTGCTGTGTGCCTGCTCGGTTGATGGGTAAATCCCTATAAGTTAACAGTCGGTGAATCTCCACTCGCGCCTTCTTCTAAAAAAAACACCATCATTTTCTTCCTGACTGAGGTGCAGAAAGCGCTTGTTGTGGCCAGGCTAGCGGCTCAACAACAAATCACTACAGGAAGGGGTATTTCTGCAACGCCTGTGGTCAAGTTTTGAAAAACAAAACAAAAACAACAACAAACGGTTTAATTAAAACCTTGTCGGTGAGTTGCCTTTTTTTCTTTTGTGGCTTCTTTGATTGTGCCTTCTAGTTTGGCGTTTCACCCGTTTGTATGCACGAGCTGATGAATTATCTCACAGCTGGGCTCAGAGCTTAGCTAAATGTCGCCACGAGGCGCTTTTAAAAAAAGTAAAATATGCTTTTAAATGGACAGGCGTCGATTAAAAAGCCGTTATCTGCTGTAGCCGCGAAAGCAACATGGAGGAAACATCAGTTAGCTGGACACACAGGGGCTCCTGGCCGTTTGTCCATCGAGGATTCCTCTTTCCTGTCGTGCAAATCGAGGAAAAATCAGCCTAAAATAATTTTTTCAGAGGAGGGATTCGTCATAGCTGTGGAAATAGCATCAGTTGGGTGCTTAGTGTGTTCCCATTCAGCCCTGTGTTCTTTATAGCGGTGCTGAGGATGGACGCCGTGTCGTTTCTTTAGTGGCACCAGAGGCGTAGCTAGGAAATTTTAATAAGGGTGGCCAGGCAATAACCAAGGGGTGGCCGAAAATGGGTAGCCAGAACCTCAGGGTCAATCTACACCAGGGGTAACCAATTAAAAATCAGCGGGGTCCGAATAAAGAAAATCCTCCACCAGTAAAGGTCCGGATATATTTTTAATGATCTCTTGCTTTAACCAGAATTTTAGACTAAAATAAAATGAGGTGTTTATGCATTCATGTGATACATTGAATTATTGAATAAAAAATATAAATTTTTTTTTAACATTTTTTCAATTTTTAAATCTAAAGTGTTTTTTGAAGAAGAGAACAACAATCTTTCAGTTTGGTATACAGACAATTTCCTGATTTACATTTTTTATAAAACATCTGAACTGAATGTTTGTTTTTTTCTTTCTTTTTTTTCTTAATGAGATCAGTGGGCTTTATGCTGCCCTGCAAGGATTTAAACCTGGGTTTGAATGGAGACTAAGCCATTCTCAAGCACCTATCAAGGTGCTCATTCGTGAGCCTGGATCCATATTTATTTTTGATTCTGTTCAGGGTGGAGAATCCTGCTTCACAGCAGCAGGTTGAGCCAAACATACTGAAAATGTTCAGGCTCCGCTCCAGTCCGGCCAGGTCAAGATCCCCTATTGCAATCGCACCAAACAGGAAAAAGAATGGCGAGAAGATCCAGTTTGTCAAATTGAAATTTAGTAACAGATCGATGACTAAAAATTAGAACATAGTTCTTATATATTTCAAAGAACTAACACAGTTTATTTAAACGATTGGATGCAAACTATTGGTACTTCAACATACCAGGAAACAGATTTCTCATCTCCATCAGAAACTGCACATATGTCCCCAACCACCGCGGCCTGGTGGTTGGGGACTGCTGGTTTAGAGGATTATTTCCAAAAGAATGAATAAAAAGGCACAAATAAAGCAGAACAAATAGATCCATTATACGTGGTGATAGTTTTGTGATAAAAAGGATGCATAAAGCAGCAGATAAACGAGTATAATTTACACATAAGATTAATTTGATTTATTCAACCTTTATTCCTAGATTCTTCCCTGTAGGATTTTTATAACATTATCCCCCCAAAGTGCTCAAAGACAAAAACGATTTTACTTGATATCTTGTAAAAGTAGATAAATAGGCTTTAATTTAAAGCAAAAACTGTTAATTAACTGAATAAGACACACTCATGAAATAACAGTTCAGCCCTGCTCCTGTCAGTTCCTCTGACTATTGTAATGATCAAGCACTCATTGTTTTATTTCAGGGACAGAGCTTTAGTGATGTAGAAAACTGTTCACTAGGAAAAAAAACAAAACAAAAAAAACATCCCAAACATAGAGGTTATTGTAATTTACTGGATGGTGGCTGACAACATGCTCCCAACAGCATCATTCCTTCAGCATTTTACAGGAGAGCCTTTTATCTCCACTGGGGCTGAGGCAGAATTAAATCACAATTGGTGTCGTCTGACTAGTGTTTCAAGTATAAATATCAAATTTCTGTCTTTTATTGACAAGTAACAGATGAAATGGACCAAACATGACTCATTTTTGGCTTCACTATTTTCTAGTCTATTTTTTCTGTCTCTAGCAGGTAGGGGTGGGTATTGCCAAAGAAGTCACGATTCGAATCACGATTCACAGGCCACGATACGATTCTATCACGATGCATCACGATACTTGAATTATTGCGATGCATTGCAATATTTTCTCCTCCGGAAATGCTTGTGACACAAGGCAGCGTGCGTCAACACATTTGCAGCGACATCTACTGGACTGGAAGTGGTATTGCACTTGTTTTTGGCTGATGTTCGCCAACCATTCATGCAATTTTATTTATTCATTTTTTTAAATTAATAATCGATTCTTGGCATCAAGAATCGATGCAGTAGATCACGAAAATTAGAATCACGATGCATCATCATCACGATTATTTTGCACACCCCTACTAGCAGGGGCCCAATATTGTTCACATCAAAGAGGCAAAGAAAACAAGATGACTGTCTTGTCATTTCTCTTTTAAAATACATTAAAAGATACTTAATAAACACGTTTCCATTTAGTTTTAGCGAGGGGCTTATATCAGGAAAAAAAAAGATAATTTGACTAGAAGGGCAATAGAGGGCAGAATTGTTTCTGAATCCCGTATATTTATATCAATCCTGAATGAAATCAGCATCAATACCCCTCTATTGAGTATAATCAGGCAGATCAGATCATCAGATATAATCAGCTTGATCAGATTAAGCTGTGTACACTTCACATCAGTTAATAAATTAACTTTTATAGAAGAGCAAATCGAATAAAAAGGATTAACATCAAGATGACAAAAAACATTAACCAGTTCTGGAGAAAAAGATACTTTAGAATAACATTGTTTTTGTCGCTCTTCTTATTATGAGGAGCCTTTAAATGCGGTGGAGTAGAGAAAATCTGCGACTTTCTACAACATTTTTTAGACACTTTAATCAAATTTTATCAAAGTGAAACAAAAACAAAGATCTGTGATAATCATTCAGTCAACAGTTATTGATTTCTGCAGCAGTGAGAACAGAATAACAAAACTCCCAAATGTGTGACCAGACCCATCCTTCTTTGCTCTGACTAGAAAAAGATGGCTGCCTTCTTTATGCATGTTTCACATTTTCAGGACAACAGACAAAACAGTTGATAAACATAAGAACAGAATGTCCTCCAAGCAGATAGTCTTTCTCTAAACTCTCTGAACCTGTGAGAGTCTTACTCCCCTCCAAGGATGTGCCTTATCGAGCCAGATAAGATTTTTTTTTTATTTTGTTTGACCCTGCAGGTGATACTTTCTGTGTAACAAAGTTGATAAATGGATCATTCTTGCAGAAAACAGTCGGTCAGACTGGAATTTCCCCTCTATAGTAAATACTTAAGTTAGCTATTTTTCTGTATCTGTAAAATGTATCTTTTTGATCCATGTGAGACATATTAGTAACTAAATGACCCAGTAATGGGAGCCTTTTATCATCAGAGTAATGTTTAGAGTTTCTTTGATAATAATTCCTCTTTTCACTATTTTTTCCTCCAGTGACAAACAGAGAAAGAATTTGTGTTTAATGACAACAAAATAAATGCTTTTAGTGTTAGTAATGTAGAAGTTTTTTTTATACTAGGTAGGATAACTCATGTGGAAGGAAGAAAAGCCTCTGTCTGAAAGGAATCTGCCAACGGAGCAATAAAGAAGCAGTCTGCTTTTTTATCAAATGGCTCACTTGCATATCATATATTTCTGAGGATGAGCACTGTATCATATGTTAGGCTGGATTTATTTATTTGTGGGATGAAATAATGAAGCCTCAAACAGCAGAACAATTAAAAATGTCAGATATCTTAATCTGCAAGAAGAATTAACACCTTTCCATGCTAAAATTCAACAAAGTTTGCATGAATGCTTTATTTTGTTTCTCCTCTGTATTGATCCCATCATGCATCACTCTTTGATTCGACCAGGAACCTGTGGGTCCCCGGGTCTACCCGATGAGCATGAGCCAGACTACAGAACCCACTAACGATGGCGCCACTGTTACAGAAGGTTTCAGATATCATTACTTCCTCACATACATTTCTGTGGTTGACCTGTGAACTGCTGTAAAGGTTTCTACATGAATGATTTGTTCTCCTCACCATCCACCCGTCTCCTATTCTTGATTTAAAAACTTTTAGTTCTGCTAAGCTGGAGGAAAAAAGACTCAGCATTTTCTCACAACAATTTTTGTTATCTATCAGAGGCTAAAATAACGACGGATGAGAAGGAGAAGGCGGCAGAGGAAGTGTTAAAGGAGGCAGAGGAAGAAGAGGAGGAGGAAGAGTACGTGGTGGAAAAGGTCCTGAATCGGCGGGTGGTAAAAGGCAGAGTGGAGTACCTTCTCAAGTGGAAAGGGTTTTCTAAGTAAGTACATATGAGTGTTTTTAAAAAAGAGACAAACCTTTTGCATTTTAATCTGGTAGGAAGTTGATTTTATCAGGTTTAACATTTCAAATTACTCACGAAAAAGCTGTTTTTTGCTGCACTTTAAAGATTATGGCTGCGGCTTGTTCAGATATTCATAGAAACCAAATTACACCTATAAAAATATAAGGTTATAATAAGAAGGAATAGGATGGGTAAAGAGTGTAGTCATAAGTGCAGATCTAATATTGTATTCCCTGTACAGTTATTTCTATAATGAAATCTTTGAATTAAGGTGAAAAGAATTCAATCCTGGCCAAGTTTAACACTGTTAAAATGAATCAGATGTTTTAAAATTAAAAAAGAAAATTTAGCAAAATGTTTGTTTTTGAATTATAGTTACAGTCTGCGATAGAAAACCAGGAGGATTGACTGGAAGAGAGACTGATACATCGACTGGCTGATATTTTAGGCTAATTTTAGCTTTTTTGTGTGTGTTTTTATCATTATTGGCCATTTCTCACCAATTCATCGGTGCATTCAGCAGACATGTTGACAAGGAGTGCATGTTCCTCCCCTGCATTTTCTGTGGAGCTAAATTAGAGCCATAGAGTTTGTTCAAATATATATATTTGAAAATAAATAATTAGAAACTAAAACATCATTGGAACATTTCCTTTTAGAAAAAAAGGGTTAAAACTGAAGAGCATTTTTTTTTTTTGACCGGAAAGATTTAAACTAAAAGACTGAAAATTGAAACAAAAAAATTTCAAACAGAAAAAAGAGATCTTGCTCCTAAAAAAATTGTTTAAAACCTTTTTAGTTTCAAATCTTACTTTGCAATTTTCGATTAACCTTTTTCAAAAAACATTTTTTGACCAAATTGGCTCCATAAATTGCTACCAATTTTTTTGTTTTTGTTTTATTTGTTAATAGATGGTTCTTTTCTTGTTTAAATTGAGACTGGTGTAATATTTTGTAATTGGAAAAAAAATAATATTGACAAGAATGGAACCGAAAATATGAGCAGCACATTTGGGCGATCGGTTAGACTTAAGTGCAAGAAATCGGCCTTAGAAAAGCTGCATAGGTTAATCTGTAGGTTCATGTTTAATATCTTTTCACCTATTTTTACAAATATGCAGCAAACCTCTTGTATTATACAAAAAAGTAATATAGCATATGCGTATTAAACAGTCAGTGCTGACCTAGGAACCTTTGGAAAGCGCTTGTTTCTGGTACGACTGGTCCCTGATGGTGAAAGTTACACAACATACCGTATTTTCACGACTATAAGGCGCACATAAACGTCTTTTTTTCCCTCAAAATGTGCGGTGCGCCCTTTGGTGCGGTGCGCCCTATGTGTGTTGTAACTGCAACTTTTGAGACTACCTCATTGAGGAGATGATGAAAGAGTGGCTGAGGGAGGTGAATGTAAGGAGACCAGGTGGTTTTTTTCCACTCATCACCATCGCTGTTAATCTGTGACTCCATGCGTGCCCATCTCACAGCTGATGTCAAAAACATGGTGAAACAAATGAATGCTGTGCTCGCTGTTATTCAACCGCTTGACATCAGTGTGAACCGGGCGCAGCAGAAGCAGCGAGTTTACATGCAAAGTCAATGGTTGACGCGCGTATAGGTGCAGCAAAAGGTCCCTCAGCACGTTTTAAGCAGCAGGTGCAGCGCGTCGGGGGCGTTTAAGCATCTGACGCGCCGCCAACGCGCTGCTGCTGCTCGAGATGGAAAAATTGAAGTTTTGCTGCTGGAAGCGCCGCATCAACCAATCAGAGAAGCTGATCTGGGAGCTGATAGCGAGACAGACACAGCGCTCTGATGACATATGATATTAAGGCAAATGAAAAGGGCTGGATGGATGAGGAGATGATGAAAGCGTGGCTGAGGGAGGTGTATGTGAGGAGAACAGGTGTTTTTTTCCACGCATCACCATCGCTGCGTGCCCATCTCACAGCCGATGTGAAAAACATGGTGAAACAAATAAACGCTGTGCTCGCTGTTATCCTGGGGATCTGACAAAGGAACTTCAACCGCTCGACATCGGTGTGAACCGGCCGTTCAAAGTAAGGCTGCGAGCGGCGTGGGAGCGATGGATGACAGATTTAGCGCAGCTGTTTAATTCAGAAACAGAGGATGATGACTTTGCTGGGTTTGATTAATACTTTGTAATAAATACATGAATAAAGCACAATCATACTCAGTTTTGCTCCCGCTCTATTTTTCTACCTGAAAACTTAATTCAACAGCAGCCTCTGGGCCGCGTCGCCTCCGGTTTCACCGCGGCGGCTGGCAGGTGTTTTTTCATCTAAACAATTTAAACTGCAGGCACCAGGATACCGGTAATAAAAGCGAACATATTCCGTCGGCAGGTTTCAGGATTTTGGGTTAATTTAGGAGTGATCACAGCACTCTGTCATCTGCGATGTGTCTGTCTCACGGCCAGCTCCCAGGTTTGATTAATAGTTTGTAATAAATACATGAATAAAGCACAGTCATACTCAGTTTTGTCCCCGCTGTATTTTTAAATACGCAGTAGAGCTATTTAAAGGTAGTAGAGGACATGTACCTGTATATAAAAAACGCGCCCTATAGTCCGGTGCGCCTTATGTGTGTGTTAAATACAGAACACATAACTGAGAGTGCGCCTTTTAGTCCGGTGCGCCTTATGGTCGTGAAAATACGGTAATTAAGTTTCTGTACTTATTTTTTCTGCAATATTCAAGGTAATAATCTCAATTTGTCAAAAAAAACATAAAGGCGAAAATCACGAAGAATTTTTTTTTTTAAATGTGTATAATTTCAGGCTGTTAAACCGAGGCTGAATTTACCTGGGATCAATTAAGAGACAGATGTTTTGTTTTAAGTGATAGATGGAGATTTACAAGGATGGTTCCAATGTTTTCACCAATTTTTCAAATTCCCTAATTCTGCAGTGAGGATAACACTTGGGAGCCGGAGGAAAACTTGGACTGTCCAGATCTGATAGCAGAATATCTACAGAAACAGAAATCGGCCCACGAGGGAAAGAGGAAAGCAGCCGGAGACTCCGAGGGCGATGAGAGCAAATCGAAGAAGAAAAAGGACGATGTAAGTTCAACCAGTAAAAAAAGAAAAGATAAACAGAGATCTTTCTTTTCCTTTTATTAAAACCAAAACTTAAATATTGCAGATTGTGGAAAGTGGGTAACCTGTTAAGTCAGATCAATGCGTATCACTCAGGTTTAGTTCTTACACGTTAATAACCCGAGACTGCTCCCATCAAATATGTTCAGGGGAACGAGAAATGTTTAGAAGAGTCTTTAAAGCTAAAGACATGCTGGTCAGGTCGGCCATTAGTGGCTCAAGCCAACCCTGCATTCTGATCTACGAAATGTTGCGTGTATCCTGTATGTATAATGACAAAACATCTTCTCTTTATCTAATTGGATGAAGCGATAAATGAAATAGTTATAAATAAAATAGCAGCAGGCCCCATTAGAAACCACAACAGCTTACGCTTTTACGCTCTTGCTGTTTGACTTTTGCAGATGAAATAGTTGATTCTGACCAATCAGACGTCCTCTGGTACTGACGTGTTTGTCTGGGCTCGGTGCCTCTTTGTTTCTTTACTGCTTTATACCCCCTTAATCCATAATAATTGGGTGATGCTTTTTGGGTTGAATTCCAATGATTTAAGCTCAAGATGAGCACCATGGATTCTCACGCTCTTGTTAACAAATACAGTGAGAATTCAGCTTATAGGGGAAGGTTAAATATCAGGAACCTGGTTGTAAAATGAACCAGGTGGTGAACTGTGTTATGTATCTAGACATGCTTTCCCCCCCCATCTTTACTTCATTGTTTCGTCCCTTTCTACTCCCTTTTTCTACCCTCATACAAACCTTTACCTAAACACAGCTGATCGATTTTTGTTTAAATACCATATTTTTTGCGACTATAAGGTGCATATAAACGTCTTTTTTTTCCCCCTCCAAATGGGCGGCGCGCCCTATGTGTGTTGTTACTGCGGACGTTGTTGAGACCACCATGAGAACGTTAAAGGGGGAAGTGTGGGCGTGGATTGTGTATAAAAGACCAGGTATGTGCTTTATGCAGAACATTGTTGTCTTAACAACCCTGAAAATGGAGAAGAGACACGCCTATGAAGCACAGTTTAAACTGAAGGCTATCAGCTACGCAGAGGAACATGGAAATCGAGCAGCCGCGAGAGAATTCAAGATTAATGAATCGATGGTTCGCAAGTGGAGGAAGCTGGAAAACAAACTCCGACAGGTGAAGAAGACGCAGCGGAGTTTCCGCGGAAATAAGGCGAGGTGGCCCGAGTTGGAGGAAAGACTGGAGCGGTGGATCATCGAGCAAAGAACGAGTGGGGCGAGCGTTTCCACGGTCACTGTTCGACTAAAAGCAGTAACGCTAGCGGAAGAAATGAAAATTGAACATTTTCAAGGAGGTTCGTCGTGGTGCTTTCGTTTTATGAAACGGCGCCATTTTTCCATCCGGACCAGGACTACAGTAGAGCAGCAACGTCTGATGCATCATAATGAAAAGCTGGCGAGCTTCCACTCCCACTGCAGCAAACACATCGCCCACAAACGCATCCAGCCAAGCCACATCACCAACACGGACCAGGTGCCGCTCACTTTCAACATCCTGGTGAATCACACGGTGGAGAAGAAGGGGACCAGCACGGTACTTTTTTATTTATTTATTTTTTTTACAGTGTCCTGTCTGGCAATGTGGCAATAAGAATAATTGTCTTGATGCCAAAAATACCCCAACAGATTTTACTATCACAAGAGGAGCAGTAAGGCAATTGCCATACTGCTCCACTTGATTCATGCATATAAATTGCTTTATTATAATTATGCAGGGAGTTTTACAGTTTATATGCACACTGAAATGTAAATAGAACAGAAAAACAGAAGAAGAAAAAGGAAAAAAGAGAAGAAAAAAACAAAAGATGAAAGAAAGAAGAGATAGAAAGCAGACAATGACAAAACATTTTCAGTCTGCTACATCACCTGTAACCAGATGAAAAAAGAACAGCACAACCAAAAGACACGGTACGAGACATACAATAAAGCAACACCTTCAAACTATCGCTAAAGTAATATTATTGAGTCTGACATGTACTCTGTGTTACCTGAAGATATGAATGTGGGGTTTCTGTATGGAAGTGAATCTCTGAGTACCTGGAGCCAAGCACCTGTAATTGTTTGTGAGGGTGCACTTGTGCATGTAAAGTTTATCCATAGAAAAAAATGCTCACTACTTTTTTATTAATACTTTGTAATAAATACATGAATAAAGCACAAACACTCAGTTTTGCTCCCGCTCTATTTTTAAATACGCAGTAGAGGTATTTAAACATAGTAGAGGATATGTACCGGTATATAAAACCCGCGTCCTATAATCCGGCGCGCCTTATGTGTGTGTTAAATACAGTAATGGCACACATAACTGAGACTGCGCCTTTTAGTACGGTGCGCCTTATGGTCGTGAAAATACTAGGGGTGCACGATATTGGGATTTTGGCCGATATCCGATATGCCGATATTTTAAAACTCATGTAGCCGATAACCGATATTGATACTGATGTTTAAGCTGGACAAAAATACGTAGTCATTGAAAATAGCAGTTTTGTTATCCATTTCTGACACTTTGAAAAATAATAAACTCAAATATATTTTCATATGCTGATATCAAATAGATTTTTAAAAACGCGGTATCGATCTGTTTTACTTTCAAAATCTCGTGAAATTTCATCGTTCTGTTACAAACTCTCGTGATATTTAGCAAATTCTTGTGAGATTTTGTTAGTAAAATAGATCGATACCGCGTCAATATATCAACATATAAAAATATTGCAAAATTTTGTGAATTTTCGGGGGATTTCGTAGCATAACGATGACATATAGCAATATTTCATTAGTAAAAGAGATTGATATGGTGTTTTTAAATGGCAATATATCAGCATATGAATTTATTGTGATATTTTAATGTAGCAATATTTTTTCCCTCGTCTTTAGAAGTTTTTAAGTCTGTAAAAAAGAAGTTTTTGAGGAAGAAGAAGAAGTAGTATTTTTTATTTTTTTTTAGACTTTAGAAACTCAGAAGCTGATCAAATATCGGGTTAAATATCAGTGGGGGGGGCCGATGTCCGATATTCAGTTTTAAGGCCGATACTGATAGGGGGCCGATTATATCGTGCATCCCTAGAAAATACGGTATTATAAGGAACACCAGTTTCACTCATATGACTCTTTTTAATTGTACATAATCTTCTAGTTTTATATTTCCCTGTAACTGTGTTGATTCTGATCACCATTTTGGACCTGGGAATTCTTATGAGATGACAAAGGCGTCACTCACTGATCAACACAGAATAAAGGCTGATTTACGAAACTAGGGTCGTCTGCTATGAAGGACCAACTCTGCCATATTTAAAAATAAATACAGAAATAAATAAATGCTCAATAAATGTATAAGCATACAATTAATTGCCAACAAAAAAGTGAGACATAAATGTATATAACTCTTAATTAGCTTCTTTATTTATTTGCCTTTGTAATATTTACCTTATTTATTTTTCTGTCCTTTATAATCTTCAACTTTATTTTTTAATTACTTATATTTTTAAGTATTTATTTATGTGCATGTTATAATATTTTTGTCTGTTTTATTCTTCCTTTGTATTTTTTTACCTTAGTTATTTCTTCGCCGCTGTTTATTTCTCTCTGCCCTTTTTACATTTCTCTCTGCCCTTTTTACATTTCTCTATGCCCTTTTTACATTTCTCTCTGCACTTTTTACATTTCTCTATGCCCTTTTTACATTTCTCTCTGCCCTTTTTACATTTCTCTCTGCCCTTTTTACATTTCTCTCTGCCCTTTTTACATTTCTCTATGCCCTTTTTACATTTCTCTCTGCCCTTTTTACATTTCTCTCTGCCCTTTTTACATTTCTCTATGCCCTTTTTACATTTCTCTATGCCCTCAGCTGCCCTCAGCTGCCGTCAGCTTCGGAGCTCCGCTGGTTGCCACGGTCCTCTCAAGTTCGTCACATTTTCTTTTAAATTACGCATTAAATCTGTGAATGGGCCATATGGTGATGCTTAAAAGTATAAGGTTCTCGCCTCAAATGATCTTAAAACGTACTTTTATTGAACAACAGCAACAGAAAAGAGAACATTTAACTTAGTACTCTGAGCTCTGTGAGTTAAGGAGATGGACCGCCAAGCCAACCAATGAGCAGAAGTTGACTCTCTAGGACACACCCCCTCCTCATTTGCATAATGAGGCATAAATGCATAGAGAAATGTAAAAAGGGCAGAGAGAAATAAACAGCGGCGAAGAAATAACTAAGGTAAAAAAATACAAAGGAAGAATAAAACAGACAAAAATATTATAACATGCACATAAATAAATACTTAAAAATATAAGTAATTAAAAAATAAAGTTGAAGATTATAAAGGACAGAAAAATAAATAAGGTAAATATTACAAAGGCAAATAAATAAAGAAGCTAATTAAGAGTTATATACATTTATGTCTCACTTTTTTGTTGGCAATTAATTGTATGCTTATACATTTATTGAGCATTTATTTATTTCTGTATTTATTTTTAAATATGGCAGAGTTGGTCCTTCATAGTCTGCATAGGTGTCGCAGTGAACAAAGAGACGTCCCCGCCCCTTTAGCAGACACTGCTGCACCACTCCCAAATAGCAGGTGACCTCAGACAGGAGGCCTCTGATTGGTCAAATCTACATCCGCTCTACTCATGCGCATTTCCTGTTTGGTACCTTACTGCCTTGTTTTGTTTGTATGACGGCCATTGCGGAAAACGACTCTTGAAGTTGGACCAGCTGGAAAAGCGCTGTGCACAAAACTGCTGGGACCCTTTTTCCACCTGGATCCCCGCTCTTTTTCACCCTCATGTTCCTGCGTTGTCACACAAACTTGCCCCCATTTCCTCACCACCTCGGCCGTATATAGACCCACAGATAGTTTGTGATTGTCACTCTTGCATTGTGGCGTGGAATAACACAGCGCAGACCACGCTTCAATATTGGGCATAAATCAAAAATATCTGCGACAAGCTCACTGCAACACACTGCTGCAGGGAGTATAACCAGCACTTTAGGATAAGCTCCCCCTGCTGGTTAATACTGAACCCGCATCTTATTACAGTATAACTACCGTAAATTGCGGACTATAGAGCGCACCTGATTACAAGCCGAAAACTCTAATTTGAGGAAGAAAATCTATTTTGTACTTTTATAAGCTGCACCGGATTTTAAGCCGCAGGTTTCCCACGTTGTATGAGATATTTACAAATAAAGATATTACACGTGAGCATTTTCTTAACGTTTGATTTAATCCGTATGATAAAACAAACAAATACGGCACATATTATGAATGCTTTTTTTTCAAACTACCTGTAACACATTTAAATATACGTATGTGTCGGTAACATGCAAATAAAGCTGCATATAGCGGTACTTTCAATTGAACAACGCACAAAACATCAGCAGCCGACTAGGAAAAGTCATTAACCACTTTCTTCTTCCTCCTGTGCACTAAAACCCTCAAAGTCCTCTTCCTCGGTGTCTGAATGGAACAGCTTCAGGATGCTGTCACTGACTTCAGTCTCATCCTTGTCGCTCTCACTTGAGCACTCGCGGTGCTCTTCATCCCGCAGCAGCCCAGCCTTCCGAAACCCGCCGGTGATGCTGGATGTTTTCACACGGCTCCACGCATTGAGAACCCACTGGCAGACATCAGTGAAAGATGCCCTTCGCATGCGGCCAGTTTTGGTGAAGGATTTCTCGCCACTGGTCATCCACGTCTCCCACTCACTGCGCAGTGCCACTTTAAATGCTCTGTGAATACTCATCAATTTTATCCGTCTGTTTTTCGCGCCATGGAAAAAAAAACATGTATTAGCCTCACTGTATTACAGGCCGCAGTGTTCAAACAGCAGGAAAAAAGTAGCTGCTTATAGTCCGGAATTTACGGTAATCAGGTTAAAGAAAACAGCGTCAAGTTTAAGAATCTGTCAACTGAAATCTGTGACCTTGATGATGTAATCATTGATTTTTTTTTTTTAAAGGCTTTGCTGCCAGATTGTCTCAAGAACCTCTTTTATTATTCCTCTGTTTGACCTGCAGAATGAGAAGTTAAGAGGCTTCGCTCGAGGCCTGGAGCCAGAGAGGATCATCGGAGCCACAGATTCTACAGGAGAGCTCATGTTCCTCATGAAATGGTCTGTCAAACCAAACTGAGCCTCTCATACACTTTATCTGTTTTGCCTTTTTTTTTGTCACTTATGAAAAAAAAATTTGAGTTGCAGATTAGTCCCTGACCATCACACTAACACCTCTGTGTTTGATTGTTGGTCTGATCTGTTATTGATAGGAGATATCGAACGATAACAAAAAGCACAATCATAAGAAATTTTATAAAATTAGGAGATTGTTTTTACATCACTGTTAAATATGGTAGTTTATTTTTAGTCCCATAACTTAGTTAAGTTTGTCTTTTTTTTTTTTTTTTTTTTACAGGAAGCATTCGGATGAGGCCGACCTGGTGCCAGCAAAAGAAGCCAATGTGAAGTGTCCACAGGTGGTGATCTCCTTCTATGAAGAGAGACTCACCTGGCACTCGTATCCTCCAGAGGAGGAGAAAAAAGATGAGAAAAACTGAGGCATGGCAACGTTATCGACTCGGCTGGGGAAGACAAACGAAAAGACCAGCAAGACATTTCGTGGACTCATTCGTCGTTTTGGTGTTCAACTCAATCAATGCAGTCATTTATGTGTCCTTTCCAGTCTGTGTTTCAACATTCACCTTCGTTTAAATATGGCATTCAAAACCGACAGCTGTTCAATGTGGGACATTTTTATTTTTCTGGGAAAACTGGGTTTGCAAAATTAAGTGATTATCGGTTCATTTTATCAGTGTAAAGAAACTGAATTATTCTCAAATCATTTTCTAATACAAATTAACGATGAGCTACTGAGCATTTAAAAAGTTAAAATTTTAAGATATGTTTGTAATCTGTTCTAATAGTTTTTTTTTTTTTCTCCTGATATTTTAGATTAGGCATAAAAAGAGCCCAAAGCAGGCATGTTTTCTTAATTTTGGATCGTTTATGAGGTGGTCATGTTTGTTGCTGTTCTGCTTTTTTACAGTACGAGTTGTTTTTTTTTACACCAGTTCGGGTTTTATTTACATACGTGCAGAAATCCCTGTTGTTTTTGTTGGGCTTTTCCTTCTCCCCAGTTTTCACTGTGACAACCAGTTAAAATCTCATCTAAACCTCCTATTCTTTAGTCATTAAATTGTACCACAGGGGTAAGAAGATTTTGTTCACTAATGTAGAATGTCACTGTTTTGCAGCGTTTGCATTCAAAAACATTGATAAAATCAGAGAAACTTGTATTGTTTTGGTATTTTACAAAAAGCTGCAAATTGAGATCATCCAGGTCCTCCACCTATAACTGGCTTTATTTTGAAATCAACAAACAGGATACAAAGTGAAGGCCTTGATTAATAAAAATATGGATATCACAAATTGTGTTAATGTTGTTGAATGCATCCACTTAAAGCAAGTGAAGATGGAAGTCTGTCAGTGACGTTTATTAGGTTTGTTTTACATTTCAATCATGGTGACTCGGTGCTTACAGGCTATAAACGAAAGCTTTTCAATTCCAGACAGCAGTGACTTTATTTGACTTAAAATATAAAAACTGAAGCAGTCTCAGATTGAAGGCTGTATCAGTCGGATTTCGTTGATTCAGTCTTTTGTTGCTTTTTAGGTTTATTGGAAACAACTGAACCCGAGTATAACCACTAGCTGTAATGCATCTCCTAGTTTCATTGTATTAATAAACCCACCAGTGCCCAGAATATTGGAAAACGGTTCCAGTAAAATGTTATATGGAAATGACGGTTTTGTAATTAAAACACCTTTAGCAGCTTTGTTCATTCTAATCATTCTGTGAATAATTTGTGCATTGTTATCCTAGTGTTTTTCTTTTTTTACTTGTCACTTTTCGAAAATAAAACCATTTTCTTTGTTACAACACTGTCTCCAATCAACATGTTTATATATATATAAATTTTAAATACATATATACTTTTATATACAGTGCATCTGATAAGTTTTCACAGCACTACAGTGTTTTTCTCATTCGGGTATGCTGCAGCCTCATCCCAAATGGTAATAATATACATTGTTTAGTGCTAGTGTATTGAAATAAAATCAGGCTTTGCTTTATCAGTTGTTGAGCCATCTGAAGTCTTTTTAAATATAAAACCTCAGGTTTAGCACATTTATCATGGTCCATTCTTATTAGCAGTAGTGTTAATTTCGTTAACGAAAACTAAACGAAAATATTTTCGTCAACGCACATTTTTCACCAAACGAAAACTAGACGAGACGAGACGAAAATCCCCACTAATAAACAATAACTGGGAGTAAATCAGAAATCATTTTCGTGGACTAATAAAGACGAGACGAAAATGCAGTTCGGTAAATAAAGACTGGACTAAAATCTATGGACATTTTAGTTCACGAACAAAGACGAGACGAAAATTATATATTATTATTTTCTGTTTTTTTTTTTCAAATCCTGTCTCGTCTCCTCCTCCTCCTCCTCCTCCTCGTCAGCTCCCACACACCCACTTTCAAACCCGGAGCGGGCGGCACAGAGTAGCCTACTCCGGGACTCGGGAGAAAGAGGAGACGTGCTATATGGACACATTTTCGCTTTTAAGTGGAGAACAAAACCAAATGCTTGATTTTAGTGGAAGGGAAGGAATATGGCCACATGATGGCTGGAAAAAACACAACAAACCTGAAGAGACACGTCGCAGTTCACCACAAAGACATTACGGTAAGTTACCAGAAAGATTGGTGGTGATTGTTTATAATGTAACATTAAATCAACGGCTATAATATCCCAATGATATACTAACTGATGTTGGCTAATTTTCATAGCATTTAGTATCCAGGCTGGCTACGTTACGTTAGCTTGTTAGCACGTAGCGACGGTAGCCACTTGTTGATAGCATAGTATGTAAAGTTAAATTTATGCTAACTTGGATATGTTATACTGGCCGGGCAACTATAGTTTCTGTTAAATTGCAAGTTTGATTAAAGCAGACAGACGTTTTAGGTAATCTAGGAGCAGCAAGTGAACTATAGTTAACAGAAAACACCTCGGCAGCTACACATGTATGCTAAATGCTAAAAGGAACTGACACTATTTATCAGGATAAGACAAAATAAAAATAATATGCCACACATAATTCAGAGCAACTTTAACCTAGATTTTCATATACAAATAGTCATTGCTAGGGGAACCACTGCAGGGGTGTCTTTATTTGGTGACATAAAATGCTGCTCTTTTTATCTGCACATTACTATTACAAGGACATTTGAATTGAATTGGCATCAATATGTGCAATCAATATATGCAACCAAAATGCATGCACACCTAAAAATGTCTGCAATTTATTCCTGCATTAAATGATAGTTAGGTTGTTTGTATGAGTTTGAAATGGATGGTCAAATGTAGTTTTTATAGAGACTTAGTTTTTGTTAAGGAAAAAAAGAGACCTATATGCTACTTATACACTTGGAATTCGTGTTATGCTGTGCATCTATCCTAACATTGTATTAATTTCTGTTCCAGATTGAAGATACACCACCACCACCAACAACAACAACCTACCAGCCACCCAGAAACAATGACAGGCCAGCTAAAGCTGGAAGGAAAGCACTTTTGTTGTATCAGTTGGAGTTTTTTATTTTTATTTTTTTTTTAACAACATTGACCTCAAATCTATTTATTTTATTATTCAATGTGAACTAGCTTTAAACAGCCAGCACTTGTGTAAAGTTCATAAGACACTTTATTTTATTTATTTGTTTCCTTTGCCAGGTGTGTTTTATTTGTTTTAATGCAAGCATTTGTGTTTGTGTTCAAAATAAATATGCAAATATTGTCAGAACATCTTCCATGTCTGCATGTGTTCCTTAAAATTGTGTTTTTTATTAAAAAGATGAGAGAAAATGTTGAAATAATTTTAGGAAATCTTAAACGTTATCTGCTGACAAAAAAGTAAAAGGTTAAAATTATATCCTGACTAAAACTAGACTAAAATGTTGACAGTTTTTGGTGACTAAAACTAAACTAATAAAATTATGTTTTCTTGGACTAAAATAAAGACTAAAATGCTCTGACTTAAGTCGACTAAAACTAGACTAAATAAAAATGCGATGATGTCGACTAAATGTGATAAAAACTAACAAGCGATGCTGAAACTGGACTAAGACTAAAACTAAATTTAAAAATGGCTGCTAAAATTAACACTAATTAGCAGAACATCTCAAGATGTCGGGAGATGAAGCCTTCAGACTTAAGTTGCTCTAAGGATATAAAGGGGTGAAAATATGATTTTTTTAACTTAATAAAATAACTAGATTGTGTTTGTGTGATGACATTAAGGATTTGTTTTTAATATGGTCTCAGTATGATGTTGATTTATGATCCAAGAGAAAATGGAAATAAATTGGGAGCGATTGTGATTTGAATGTGCTTCTGTTGGAGGGGACGGCTTACGTTTTATGTTGGGTTTCTCTTTTTGAAGAACAGAATCCCATCACTAAAGAATTTGATGAATCAGTACTTAATGTTTTCATCAGTAGAAAGCTAATTAATGGTACTAAGAAGTTTGGGCTGTTGCTCATTTTATGGACAATGAAGGGAGTTTTTTTAAACACTTGAAATTCAGTGAAAAGTTGCAGAAAACAACCAAAATGACACACTAACCCATCAGGTTTTCATGCCATGATTAAACATTATATTCTAATATTACTCTTGTATTGGTGGAGTTACCTTCTGATACGCAACAATACATTTCTGAGAAGCCATTTATTCCAATACCATCCTCTTAATTTAGTTAAGAGGAAATATATTCTTAAAGTCCTTAAAGAAGAGAACATAAAATGTAATGTATTTCTTCTCCAGTCCCAATTTAAGCAAAGGGCATTCAATTTAAAGTTATTAATTTTCTATATTTAATACAATTAAGAAAATCTCTGAAGATCTGCTTTTTACATTGAACTGATGGGAATCTGTGCGGAGATTTGGAGATGAATAAAATTCAGTTTACAGCTTTAACAACTTGGTGCCAAAAAGTGCAGCTCTGAAAACTTTATAAAAGTGCTACAGTTATTAGGAAATGAATCTAATTAGTTATATGTATATACATATCTTTAATTTTAAATGAAAAGTAGTTACAATATGGTAAAAGCATAATTTTTCTTTAAATATAATTTAATTGATTACCAATGAAACTACTTAAGAAATTGAATCTTTCTAAATAATTTGTTTTACCTGTAGGTGAAACTCACTGCAGACCAATTATGAAAACCAATAGTAGCCCCGCCCACTGGCTTTACTATAATGATATGATGTAATTACCACGGCATTTAATGCTGAAATTATTCTGTTTTTTTATTTTATATTTCCTGTTGTGTCTTTGATAAACTGTCTTTTCAGAATAAAGGTGATCTAAAACGCCATGATCCGCTCAAGCATGGAGTCACAGGTGAAAATAAAAACACTTTATTAATCAATAAAAACAATTCTTGATTGCCAGCAAACATTCAAAAACGGGGAACTACGATGCAAACTCAAAGCAGAGAATGCGGTTTTTATGGAGACGTTGAACGAACTACAGAAAACAAAACAGGAAAATATTTACAGAACAAGACAGACAAAAAAAGTGCACTAAAGTAGTAGCAGTACTTAATAGTTGGTGTTGCACTGGGTTACATAAAAGTGAATGTTAACCAGAGATTCATGCCTTAATATTACATTTAATAAAGACATCTCTCCTGTTTAACCATTGTTTTTTTTTTTTTATTATCCGGACATCATCCCAATGTTGCAAGTTCTTTTCAGCCTCTTGTAAATATTTGCACCTAATTGCTATCTTAGCTGTAGCAACAAACACCCCCGTTTTTTATTTTCACAACACGCTCACTGACACACTTCATTCAAACAGACGGGTAATAGCACTTCTACTTCGAGAACCTTCCTGCTGTTCTCCAAAACCCTTTCGAAGGGAGATAAGGAGATTTTTAAAAGAGGGCATTCAAATCCAAGTGGCCTCATGCCTCCCACCGTCGCTCACATCCGCTTCACTTCCACCTCGCATAACGTGGCTTACTCTTGAAAAAAACAAACAAAAAACAATCAAATGCAGCAAGTGGAGAGTCAA